GGGGGGGGGGTGGGGTGCGTTGTCGTGGAGGGTCGTGTGCGTAAGTTAGAACGAGGTGTACGGGGCGAAAAACGGCGGTGTTTCGAAGGTGGTGGTGTTTGTGGTTGTGGTGCTGGTGGAGATTTAGAGATAGAGAAAATGTTGGGGGCGATAGCGGTGAGGCGATGTAACGTCGTCCTTAATACGATTGTCGACAGGCCATGGCGGAAAGAGAGCGGAAGTGCAATCGGACGACGATTCGATAAACGATGCGTGCAGCGTGATAAGCGGCCAGTCGGACAGCCGGAGCTACCTGGATGATATGAATGACAACGAGATGGACGAGGGCTCGCAACAGGAGGTGTTGGAGGAGAAGCTCCGCGATGCGATTGACGGGCTGACGCAGAAGAGCGCGAAGGGCCGCGTCTCTTGCTTCCACGGAGTCGAGAAGATCTTCGCGATAAAGTACGTGCCGGAGTTCCTGGAGGACAGGAAGGCGACGATCGCCGACGCCGTGGAGAAGGGCCTGAAGAAGGGTCGGGGTGACGAGCAGTCGTCGGCCGCGAGGCTCAGCACGTTGCTTTGCATTCAGCTCGGTATGTACGACAGTGCCGAGGACGTCTGTAAGGATCTCAAGTCCACGCTGACCTTTATCGCCAACGACAACACGGTGTCGGTAGCCGGCAGAGCAGAGGTGAGGGAGAATCGAGGGTGATTGAAGAGAGGGTGAAGAGAGGCCCCACCGGGCAGCCCTGGCTCATTTGCGTTTGGTCATTTCAGTGCTGCTGGGCGTTGAGCATGAACCAGTTCTTCTCGGGCAACGACGCGAGCGATACCATTGAGATCACGCAACTGCTGTGCAACATCTTCGCGGGCTCGTATCTGAAGGGGAACGGTGCCGTGGCCACGATATCGGCCGAGCTCGCCACACTTCACGCAGCCGCCATTTCCTCCTGGACCCTTCTACTTACCATCATGGCACCGTCCGACATTTATAATTTGTGCGCGAGCACGCGGACGGGCCACTTTATGCCGTGAGTATTAAACGAGCTAGTGCGCGATGGGACTAGGATCGAGAATCATTCGTCTTAATTCAAAAATCCCCGCGTTGTTGGTGCGCGCCACACTCACACAGGTCACTCAATAGACTGAGCGAGCTGCTGCTCTCACCTCACCTGGATGTTCGCTTATCAGCCGGTGAGGCTTTAGCTGTGATCTTTGAGCTTGGACGTGATTTTGCCGACG